TAGGCCACAGTCACTATGCTACTATGTACCTATGACTATTAACGGCTCCCCCCTATCGAGTATAGTTACTCGCGTTTGCGTTCATTTCTTGATCTTCATTCTTGACCTTCCTTCATTCGTGACCTGCTGGACTTTCATCACCGGTGTTGAACTCTGGCGTGATGATTGCCCGGCTACCTGGCTCCTTGGCGCTGGCGCTAGAAGACGCGTTCACCTGTGCGCCCCTCGTGTGGCTAATTGCTTTGGCCGAATTGAGCCTCAACAGGGAATATGGGTTGGGCAGTTCGTTGCATTTGCCTATAGACTGGGGGTCGGTAAACCATGATTCAATCAACTGGCGTCTCGTACGATTGTCACTTCTCGCAATGATTTCGGCTGAATTTGCCTGCCCCTTTTGCATATATTATTGGTCACTTTGGGACTGCCTACAGAGCTCCGGCACACAACGGATTGAGTGCCACGGTTACGTTCAACCTGAGTTAGCTTCACACTTTTCTACTCTGCATTATTGCTGCACAGTGTTATAAATTAACTTGAAATGCAAATGTGAAAATTTATACAACACCAAAATACACCGTACCAGACGCGCATCTATTGGCCGATGTATTCTTCTGGCTGTGTTAACCTGCTCGGGTTTATGACTTTGTTTGGTTAGTGAACATTGTATTTTCACACAGGTAACTCTTTAGAAGTGTGCTGCCTAGTCCCTTATGTGCGAACGAAACATATAAAGGGGCAATTTTCACGTTATTCCAAAATATATGCCTACAGTGTGTTGCCTCTTTCACAGCCTTCCGTCAGCGGTTAACGTCCAACGACCAATTTTGATGGAAATTGCCTTCAGAGAAGTTGGAGTGTGATCACGACCGTAGTTGCGAACATTTAAAAGGTTGCTTGCTTTCCAAGTACACTCAATAAAAACCTTTTGTTGGTTTACGAAAATGGAACTTCGGGGAGCGAGCAGAAGGGGAATGAGGAAACACCAATAAATTGTTGTCGTCACAACGTTTTATTCTTTGTAAAAGCTCAATTGGTTTTATGGTGTGTGAAAGCACGAATTTAGACAAGAGTCGTGGCAGACCGGTCTTCTGAGTTGGAGAGAAACTAGGCAGGAGTTCGGATGTTGACCTCAATCGCCAGGTACAATTACCTGGGCTAGGAACTGGGGGAAATAATAATATCGGAACTTCGCGCGAACGATTACTTGCGCCAATGAGGCAGATTTGGGACTGCGCTACTAGACGGCACGTAGCAGAATGCAAATATATTGCACGTGCAGAGCACTACCGACGTAGTCAGACTGACTGCGGTAAAGGCAACAAAAAGGAGAAAAGAAACAGGAGAAAGAGAAGATGAAAAAAAGACCGGAGGACCAGCAGACACGAGGAGAGCTTGCAAGTCCCAAACTCGTCTCGCGGGCGTGCTGGCGCTGTCTTCGAGAAGGCAACGGGGGATCCTTCTATAACAATTCGCCTCAACTTCGCGTCCTACAGACGTTGAGCGGGGAATTGTTTTGGCGGATTCCA